CCCTCACCCCTCACCCCGCATCCCTCACCCCTCACCCTTCACCCCGCATCCCTCACCCCGCATCCCTCACTCCTCACCCCACATCCCTCACCCCACATCCCTCACTCCTCATCCCGCATCCCTCACCCCGCCTCCCTCACTCCACATCCCACACCCCTCACCCCACACCCCCCACCCCTCACCCCTCACCCCTCACCCCTCACCCCTCACCCGCACAGCACCGCAGCCGCCGCGCTCCCCGGCGCGGCCCCGCCCCGCAGCCCCTCGGGCGGGCGCGCAGGAACATGGCCGGGCAGGGCGGCAGCAGCGCTGGAGGCCGCGGCGTTGTGGTAAATGCGGAGCGCGGCCCGGCTCGGCCCGGCCGCTCGCCCCTCGCCGGCCGCGGTGCCTCCCCGGTCCCCGGCCCGCTTCCCCGATGTCCCCCGGCGCTTTGTGCTGAAGCCCCGCGCCCTTCCCTTCCCTTCCTTCCCCTCCTCCGGCCCCGGCCGGCGCCTGGGCCGCCTCCCCTCGCCCCGCGCCGCTCCCGCCGCGCCCGCGGCCCCGGCCCCGCTGCGGCCGCCGGAGCGGGACGGGCGGGCTGGGCTGAGCCGCGCCTTTGGCTTCCGCCGTGAAAACACGGCCCGGTGCCGCCCCGAGCGGCCCCGGGGCCGAGCCTGTGCCCGTCCAGGCTCCTTGAGCACCGGGGATGAGGCTCCTCGGTCATCCCGAGGTGTCTTGCTCCCACCGGAACTCTGCGAGGCCTCTGGGAGAGGGTTGGGCTGCCCGTGTTTTGCTGGGGTGGGAAATAGCCCGAGCCTTGGCATGCGCTTGAAATGTCTGTAGGGATGGATAAATGGTGCAAAAATGAATGAATGTGATCCTTATTCTGATAGACACACCAGATTCTCCTGTGAAGCAAATGCCATCACTGCCACCACCTTAGGTATGTTCTTATTTCAATGTGGCATTAGGATTTTAACAGAAAGTTCACGGGTCAGCTGCCCAGATCATGGCACAGGACGCTCTGTGTAGGCAGTGGTCACACTGTCCACTCCAACATCTCCTTCATCCCCCTCCTGAAGGACCTGTCTCCATGTATTCGAGCTCTGTCTGAAAACACCACACATCAGCCACATCTCCTGACACCTGTGTAATAAATTACATTCCTTAAGTGGGTGACTGTGCGTATCATCAAGCAACAGGAGGTTATTGCAAAGTCAGACATGAATGTGCATGACCATGTTCTGGTGCTCTGATTTAATATTTCTGCTCAACTCCCCAAAAACCCAACCAGCAATAAGTCCAGTGCAGCATTATTTAAGTTACAAAAGCTGGACTTTGCTTTATGCTTTTTGGAGCCGAGGACTGAGCTCAAACCTCACCTGTGCTCACTTTGCCAGACAAGAAAATGAGCAACATTCTTCTAAAGGTGTTGAATGTCTTCAGCTTGTCTCTTAGGCCTCAGGGGAAAGCTTTTGGATATTGCCATGTATTTATATTCCTCTTTGTATCCATTCACATCAACTTTTTAAAGACTTACTGAAGAATATCTGATGGGCTATTCAAACAGGTGAAACCTGAACTTTAAAAGTAGGTCTTTATTTCACTGTAGGAATGTTTTACAGACAAATATGCCAATGTATTTAGAATATATATTTACTTATCCAGTTGAACACTGGTTTTTTTTCTGAAAACAATGAGACTTTTTTTCCTTCATTTTTAAATTCTCAAACAGAATAGTCATAAGAATTGACAGTTACTTGAAAATTGTCTTACAGCATAACACTGTGAATAGGTTTAGGATAAATGAGAATTTCCTAGACTTGTTGGGAAGTGCCTGTTTAAAAGAAAGAGGAATATGAAAAAGGCTTATTATATCAGACAAATAATTAATTTGAAAGTACATGTGAATTTCATCTTGTTTGTCAAATGCCAGCAAGCACTTGTAAACAAGAACTTCAATATTATTGTAGAGTTACACTATGTTCTGCTATTCTAGAAGGATAAATGGGAGAATGAAAATTTCATCCTGATCCTGTTTTATGAAGGACTTATTGTAGCCTAAGTAAAAGTTATTGGGTTGTATGAATTCTAAAGCAATTTTTATCCATTTAATTTGTTCTGCATCACACTCAAAACATGCAATTTGCCAAGAATGCAGAAGTAAGCAACGCTGACAGGGGTTGCTAGTGGGTGTTTGTAATACTTAATGAAATTGTTTCAGTTTGCATTAAAATGCTTTTGAACAGACCGTTCATTGCTACAAAATGTTTAAAAACTTCCAGCCTCCTCATGCACTGAAAAAGTAGATGGGAAAATAGTCTTTCCAGGCCGACTGCAGCAGTGTTTCTGGGGCAAGATTTTCTCTAATAGAAAGCTCGCCAAGGAGGATCTTTATAATCTCCTGTTTCTATGGAAATGAGGAACACAACTAAGTAACTTTTTATTCTTCTGTGTAGTTTCAAGGCTTGTGTAAGTCAGGGGAAAAGCTTTCATTGATTCCAGTGCTCTCCCAGTCATGCCCTTCATGGACTAATATTCAGTAGCCAACGAGTAATTTTTTTTGATGCAGAAAATTTTGGGTAGAGTTAAGAAAATGTGCCAGTCAAGGAGCCTGTAACTGTCAATGAATATGAAAAAAAAGCCCCCAAGAAACTCAAAATCCATAAAGCAGAACAGTGTTTCAGTACAGCAAGAGGCAGGGCTGTGTCTGAGTTAAAGAAGAGGGGATGTGAAGGACAGCTCAACATCAAATATGTTATCTTAGCCAAAACTGTGAGGAACAATTTAGTGCTCTACTATAAAATGGTAAGGAGAGATTAATTTCAGTGATGGTCCTTTAAAGACTGTAGCAAAAATGCCACTAAGATATGCACTGCACAATGGCAAGTTTGCCTCCATTTCTCCTTATAATCAAGATTCCTGTAGCCAGGCTGTAGAAAATGTGTGACTTGAGGAATATGATTGTAAGGAAAACCTATTAGGTGTTGCTTTTTATCCTGAACCAGTATTGGAGCAAAGCTTTGCAATGATTTCAAGGTACCTTGTGAACCTGTCTTATCTGAAAGCCTTGTCTTTCATAAGGAATAGGGAAAATGTTTGTTTTGGAGTTTGTGTAGTTTTTGTGCTGGTGACTTTGCATTTCATAGCTTTCTGAAGCCTTCAACCGTTGGCTAATTTTTGACCTTCTTAATCTCTACCACTATTGTATGTTGTGAGATCTAATCTCTGTATTCTGATACTTACAAAACCAATGTATATTAAGTCTGTAAAATATTTTTTATGTAAATATATGGATTTACAGACTAGTTTCATAGTGAGGTGAGATGCAAACATTTTGTAATCACTCGTATTTGATGACATCTAAATTAACAACCTCACCTTTGACAAGAAGTACTGTTTTTCACTGATTTGTACAGATATCATCCATGAACCACATAAATTATTCTCTGAATGTGCTGTTTCATCTGTAGAATACTTACCTATTTATTTATAACTTCAAGTCATTCTAAACTAGAAATGTACAATTTTAATATAGAATTTTTTGTCTTTTACTCCAACATCTGAATGTCCCATTGGAAAATCCCTTTATACTGGCACTATTATATTTGAACTTTGAATTTGAAAGTACTTAGAAACTTATTTTTGCCACTAGTTTAGTCTTAAATATTTCCTTTGTCTGTCTAGTTGTTTGTAATTTCAGGTGACATTTCCCACACTTTGTAGGGAGAAAAATGTAGCATTTGATTTCTGAGTTATACAGAGAAGCAAAATAATTAATGGGAAAAGCAAAATAGTAAATTGTAACTGGAAGAAGTTATGGCACACAATGAATTCATCCAATAGAGTGTACTAGAATGCTGATTTTGTATCAGTTACATAAGGTCAAACACCATGAAGTGTTCTTGACAGTACTATTTGATATTCAGATTTCAGACAATTGGCCTGGATACAGTCTGGATTTGTTCACTTACCCTCAACACTACTATGGTGACCTGGAATATGTGCTCATTCCTCATGGCATTATTGTTGACAGGTATGTGTTGCTTGAATGTTACTAAATAAATTGTTTGGTCAGTAGTATTATACTTTTTTATAAAGGTGGTCATCCATATACAGTACATGTATGATTTTTTGTAATAAAATATTATAAGTTAAAAACGTGGATATTTTTATTTAGAAATTTAAATTAGTACATTTTTGTCTGTCCTGGACTGCCTACATTTTTAACATACAAAGTGGTCTTTGGAATTCATGGAAATTTTAGCTGCAACCAATCTGAGGAACAATATAAAAAATAAAAATTAATCAAATAAATGTTTCTTAATGAGAGGTTTTCCCCATTCTCAGACTTGATAAAGATGATAAAAGACTATTTTATTAAACTTCAGTAAAGTAAGTGATCCTCATTTTTAAAACACTAAAAGGAATTATATATTTCAGATCAAATAAGATGATCTAATTTTTCTAATCTCGTCTATTTCTCATCTAAAATATGCTAATTATAGCCATATGGAATTTGCTACAGCATTAAAAATAAAATATGTGGAAATGAAGCAACAGCTGTTTCTCATACTTAATATATTATCTTCAGTCTAGAGCTTATTCTTCTCTGCTCCATGCACAGATTTCACTAAAGACCAATCAATGTACTTATGTAGCGGCAAATTGATTTCTGTATTGCAGTTGATAGAGAAATAAAGAAAACAACTAAACCTGAAAAATGTAATAATAAAATATATGGGATAAATTATGGAGTTATTTAATAAATTGTATCCTGTCAACAAGTCCACTCTTGTTGATACTACTAATCTAAGTCAGAGAGCTATAAAATAATTTTCCAGTGGAAGTGTTTACAGAATATAATTTGCTGAGCTGTTTTTCCTCAAAACATCAAATGACATTTTAAAGTTTCCTATTGATACTTCATTACATCTAGAAATGACCCAGTACCCTACTGGGGGTCTAGAAACACTATATTTAAAGTTAATATTATTTACATTTATTACTAAGATTAATATTTATTATTTTTATCTTAAAAATGTATGTAGCATTGCATGGCAGAAATGTGTACCCTTTGTTTCCAAGCATCTGCCATATTGTGTTTGCCATACAGAATTGTCCGAAAGGACGGGTTTGTTTGGGAACCACACAATTCCAGGCTCACTGGGGCATTTGCTTGATTATTTTCCTGTGTGGGACCTTGAACAAGTCAGTGAAGCTCTTTGCACTCTTCATTTCTGCTGTACAAAGCAGTGACCTGTACAGAATAGTGATAATATACACTCTTTATAAGCTTTTCACTGATGCTCTATTTCATTCTAGTTTTTATGTATATTTTTCTTAAAACTGTAGGGGTAGCATCTTCCAAAGCCAATCAGCATGAAAGTTTCAGATATTTTCCCTATCTTCCACTTGTTCTTGTGCAGTAACTAACATAACAAGTTAGGGGTTTGTACAGGTATATTTTATACTGATAATTCCTGTGAGGTAAAATGGAAGGCTAGTTCACATTCTTTTCTCTGGAGTCTCTGACATATTTATGAGCCTAAAATATGCTGAGATGTGTAGGTCCTGTTTGTATAGCTGGGAAATTTATGCATTTAAGGTTAACTAGAATCAAGCGCTTTGCATATTACATCCATCACTTTGCTATCTGTGAGCTGGATCCAAACCCTATCAAGCACTGGAATGGACTGTCCTGGAAGGTGGTAGAGTCACCATTCCTGGAGGTGTTCAAGAAAAGACTGCACATGGCAGTTACTGTTATGGTCTGGCTGACGTTGTGGTGATCAGTCAAAGGGTGGGCTCAATGATCTTGAAGGTCTTTTCCAACCTAAATCACTCTGTGATTCTGTGAAGTCAGGCTACTTAAGCAATGCCAAGCAAGCTTTATAGTCATGACAGTGTTTGTAAAGCATACCATGAACTTAGAGCATCTGCATCTAAAGTTATTTTATCTCTAATTTTCTTTTTTGTGCAGGACAGAACGACTGGCGAAAGATATTATGCAAGACATTGGAGACAATGATATTGTGGTTCTCTGTGTCCTCAAAGGTGGCTACAAGTTCTGTGCTGATCTTGTGGAGCACATTAAAAATCTCAGCAGAAATTCAGAAAGGTTCATCTCCATGAAAGTCGATTTTGTTAGACTGAAAAGTTACCACGTAAGTCAACAACTGATTTATGTAGATTCTGGTTGAATGCCATAATAAATTATTGACTTTTGCATGTGAGTTCTCCACCTCCAATTATAAGAAAAAATGCATGAAAAATATTTTTGCTTGAAAAACCTGTGAGGTTTTCTTAAAAACTCATATCCCTTATACTTTGTAAGTAGTAAGAATAAGGATATGAAGCAGCCTTTACCTCTATTGTTTTATTTAGTCTATCTTTTAGTTCTGGACAGAGAAGTATTCAAATTTCATTCATGTAAAATGACAGCATTTGTTTGTACTCAAAATCCTCAGCAGTTCTGTCAAGTTAATTTCGTGTTATTGCATTTTCTACCCCCGCATAGTTTGGCATAACTGCAAGGTGGTAAAATCTATGTCTTCTTCTAAATGTTTAATGCTAAGTAAATGAAATGCTTTCATCTTCATAGCATGCAGTTTACATAGTAGCAGAATATACCACCAGATGATGATAGTGTACTACAAGACTATGAAACAAGCCATTCAATCAAATCCAGTGTTGAAGTAATCATCAAGCCCTCCTGTTATCTTCAGAGGAAATTATGCAATAATAATTTATCTGTGTCACTAAGGATGATACTGAGAAGACCAGCATTTTTCAGAATCTCTAACTACAATTTCTTACTGTAGAAGCTATAAATTTGTATCCTATACTGCAGTACATGTTTCACAGTGAGGTAGCATTTCTATAAGTAAGTTGTTGTAGAGGTGTCTGAGGAAGTACACTAAATAAATAAGAGTGATAATAAGGTGTCTTGCAGAAATGCAGCTTGCTATGTCCTGTAGTTCCCACATTAACTCTACAGCCTTTCCACAATTTGTTGGCTGGCATTTTCTTCTGACCCCAGTGACTATGAACTTTTTCTAACTTTCACAGATCTGGTCTGACTTTTTTTTCACTGTGAGAAAAAAGGTGAATGAGAACCTTTTATAGCCATTTGGTTAGGATTTGGTCCTAGGACTTCTGTTTCAAGAATTAGTTCTATGAAGCACATGTGAAATACTAATATTGTACATTTTCTAGGTATTCAACAGTATTACAGAAATAATTAATAAATTACAATGTTATATAATGTCTCACATAATGGCACATGGAAATTTTACTCAATTTTTTTTTTGTGTGGTTATAATAGCACTTCTGTAACACTGCTGAGGAAATAGAGGAATTACTTAAATTGGGTTTTATTTTGCATCTGGCATGTAGGTAATGCACGTGTTTTTCCTACAGAGTTATCTCCTATCAAGTATGAAGATATCCTAGTTCTAAAATTTCTTTCCTTGGGGTCAAATCTTATTAGCCATCATAACCCATAACCAATGAGTGGCAGGAGATGTGTACTGCAAAAGTGTGTAAATTTTCACCTCTTTAGCTTAGGAAATAATGTAAAAGCATGTTATATCAAGCTGAAACAGCACTAAGAATTTTATTATGCAAGGGTGCAATTACCAATACTAAGTCCTAGATAATCTTAGGATTTAGTGGCTGTGCATATTTTGGGTCCTATCTTTCTCAGGCTATATCAGAAAGGTAGCACCTTCCCTCCCAAGAACTAGTGCCTCCATCTGCATTTTTGAAAATATATTCTTTGTTTCTTGTATGTACTTCCAAACTGGTGTCAAGTATTGCGAGGCTGAAGCTGTCCTTGATTTAGTGCTTGGATCAGTGCTTGATACCTGTCTGGTCTTGAAAAGCTGAATGACACTGCAGTAGAAATTTGAAATTACATTAATATTGGTAGATGCAGTCCATGAGATATGCATAAACATAATGCTGGCTAAAGCACCTTTTTATTTTGAGTTATTGTTGTGTCCTGTGCAATTGCAGGTTTTGGAGAATGTCCCCTTGTCAGCATAGCTGGGCTCAGATCACTTGAGGAACTCACAGTTACCTAGTCTGAGAGACTCTTTATCCTGGCCTTATACGAAACTCCCAAATCTCCATGTGAGTTTATTCTGTAATAACATGTCTTCCTCAGTGTTTCACACTTTAATCAGAGGCAACAATTACAGCTTTAGAGATAAACCTCTACTTAAAATCTTGGAGCATCACCAGTTCCACTCCTTTGTTTTCCTCTGAGTTTTCTGTTCCACTTTCTAGTAAGACTTATCACTGCCCTCTCTTTTTATACCTTTTTCATTTCACAGACACGGTTCTTCTCACATTATTTATCCTGTTTCCTTTTACTAACTGTTCTCTCTTTCTCTCCTGAAGGGAGTCCTGCTGCTCTCAATATGCTTCCTTCAGACATGTCTCCCTTACCCCCTCCAGCTGTTTAAATCCAGAAACTAATTTCAGCTCAAACTCATGAGATTTTTGTATTGTCTCATTCCAGCTTCAATACTGAAAGGTTAGTTGATTTTTAGGGGCTGTAATTCAAAGTGGGATTTCTTGGTTTAACAGGCTAGCAAAAATGGGCTGTAATTGTGACCCAAAGTCAAATCTTGGCACCCCTTAACTACCAAGTATCAGTGAAAAATGCTGTACTTTGCTGTTTACCATGCAGACATGATTACAGGAAAAGGAGATTGCAAATATGACCAGTTTTATATGGCTCTTTGTTTTTCAAACCTGTCATGATATTACAGGATTTAGACTTGAGAATTTATACTTAATTAGTATGTTAGGATTTGCCTTCATATTAAGTAGCTGAAAGCTGGGCATAAATCTTCTTTGTAAGATTTCTTCCTGCAAATGAATTGATTAAAAAAAAAAGCATAGTACATACAGATTCTCTGGATAATGAGTTGCTACTTGTACTGCCATAATCAGTATGGCTTTATCTGGCTTGCAAAATATTGTTATATGTGCCTGAATATTTTTACATTTTTGTGAGAAACTTTCCTGTATTTTACAAGGGGCAGGTTAAAAGAAAGCACCAAGTTGACAGAAAATATTATTTCAGGAATAAACAGATAGGAAGCATCATGTAAAGTTAAGCATAAAAGGAAGATGGAGAGGAAAATCAACTTAATTTTCCAGATGGAAATCTAAATGAAAAGCAGCAGCTCTGAGTTTTAAGAGGTGGAGAAGAGAAAACATACCACCAGACTTCTTTGAATGAACTCAAGAGTAGCAAGGCAAGAAGTATAGTGGGTAGAGCAAGAAGCACTACAATAATCCTCATTGGAAATATGATGAATATATAGAAAGATGCATGCCAAGTTATAGGGGAAAACACTGTATTCTGGAAACAATGACATAAGAACTGATAGAATTTAGCAGCTTTTTAGATATTAGGTTCAAAGATATTGGATTTTAATATTTCAGGAACAGTGGGATTGACGGCAGAGATTTTTGAATTTAAAACTGGATGAATAAAATTTACTATATTTAATTTTTAGCATGCTGATTTTTTTCCTGAGTGATTGTTCCTCCACAGGGAATTGGAGTTCTGAAGTTGAAAATGGGTGAGGGTTTCAGATAGAAAGGAGATTTCAAAATTGTTTTCAGAATGTTGAAGTTAAAGATGAAAAGTAATGGTGGAAGAAGTTGAATTGGGAATGTCATCAATGTGACCCTAGCAGGAGAGATGGTGGATCCAGAAATTCCATAATACATTTGTGATATTGATAACTTCAGGAGATTAAAGAGCTGATTAGGAAGAATCTATTTTACTTTTAGGGAAGTAAAATAGAGACATTAGGAAGATGTTTTATTAGGGTATTTTTAATTAAATGATAGGACTAGACAAGAAAAAATATTTGATGATGAACCAAAAGAGAGAATGAACAAAAGAAACCAGAAGGATGTGGACGTCATGAAAAGAAGGGTGGAAGAGGATATGTTTTAGTAAAAACATACACTATAAGAAGGGTAGCAGAAGAGTAGACTGTTCATAAACAATAATTAGAGCTTATCTTTGTTAAATGTGGAAGACACAATTTAGGACAAGCTGAAAAGTAAAGGTTGAATTACAGCTGCAGAGAGAAGAGGATATTCTGGCTTAGCGAGTCTAATCCACAACTAAGAGATGCAACAGTATCACCTAATCCTGTTCCATGGATGTGCCAAATGTGACCTTTAAGTGAAACCTCAATTTTTAAATGGAATTGAAAAAAATTAGAAGAAGTAGAGGAAGTATGCAGACTTTTTTTAGAAGTTTTCAGCAGCCTCTCAATAGAACGTACATGCATATGAATTAAGACTTCTTTAGTCTTTCAATGATGAAAGCTAAGAGAAGGAATCATATTAAGAGTCATTGTTGAAACTGGTGATGGGGACTGATGGAAGAGAGAGGAAACACCACACGCTTTTATTAGTCAGACCAGTGTGCTTTCTACCTGTTCTTTAAAATGTTTAGTATTCGCATATGGTTATCCATTGATACCTATCTAATTCTCTTAATTACTATATTTTATAGAATAGATATTATAGTAAAGCTCACATCTTAGGGAAGGACAAGTGAATCTTGGTGACAATAACCTTTTTTCACTGAAAACCATGGTGAGGTAAATGAAGAATGAGATTGCTACTTTTCCTGAAGTCTTTTGTGATTTGTTTGGTTATATGTGTGGACTAAAGTGGCAGAAGAGCAGCCATTTCTGTTTTGAAATGACATTGTTATAACAAACTCTGTTATTTTGAGTAACTTTGGGACCCCACCTGGAACACTTCATCCAGCTCTGGAGTCCTCTGTACAACAAAGACAAGGATCTGTTGGAGAGGGTCTGGGGGAGGCTACATACATGATCACAGGTCTGGAGCACCTCTCTTAAGAAGGCAGACTGATTCAGTGGGGTTGTTCAGCCTGGAGAAAACAAGACTTTGGGGAGACCTCAGAGCAGATGGCCAGTATCTGAAAGGGGTTTACAAGAAAGGTGAAGAGGGACATTTACAAGGCCATGGAATGATAGGACAAGGTATAATGCCTCTAAGTTGAAAGAGGGTAGATTTAGACTAGATAGAAGGGAGAATTTTTTTTTATTATGAAGTTGGTGAGGCACTGGAACACGTTGCCCAGAGATGTGTTTGA